AGTACGGACGCCGTACCTCCAGTTATCTGCAATGCAGGAGGGAGATTACACATTTCAGCTGACTGTCACAGACTCTGCCAGGCAGCGGTCCACAGCTGAGGTCACACTGATTGTACAGCCTGGTAAGTCAGCTGCCAGCACATCTGGGTCCCTCCAGGGTGGGGACAACCTGATGCCTTAGCACTGTCCTTGAATGCCTCATCCTTCTGCATTGCACTGCTGAGATGGCAGTCTTGAATCTCTGCTATCCCTGTTATCAAGGACTCTTCCACCTCTGTTGTAAGTCAAAGTAAACAGTAAAAACAAGTGTAAAATCCTAAAAATTGCAGGTGGTGATCCTGAGGGCTCACATCAGCCTGGTTACATAAGGCAGCCTGCACAGAGGTGTGTTTGAGTGTGCTTCTAAGAGCTAAAACGTAGCTCTGAGCTTAATATCCTACCAAGTCTTTCAGAGTATCAGCCTGTGGTTTCTTTGCTCTCAGTTTTCTCCTTGTTTTGCAGTTCTCCTTCAAGAATCCATGTGTGATTTGAATTCTCACTAGAATTTCATTGCACTTTCTAGGGAAAAGCATCAAGCAAAGAATTTTCAAAAGCTGCACCTTTCACACATTTGTTTAGATTTGGGAGCTGAGGGATGAATGGGACCAAATGGTCCAGGCCTAACGAGGTGGTTTTGTAATTTTTTGTAATGTGTTTGCGTGCCACAGCCGAAGTGGCCATTTCTCCCTATCTGATGATCTCCCATTCCACCATGGGGCAACATTTTATCTTCCTCTTACTGCTTATTACAGGTATTTTTGTAGATGACCCCTTCAGTGGGCATTTACTGCAGAAATCAAGAGCGTGAATTGGAAGTACAGTGTGTGGTGGTGCCTTTTAGACCTGCTGTAGTGTGCAACTAGGAAGCTGCTATTGTCTAAGTCAGGTCTAAGGAGAAATAAACATCCAGGAAAGTGGCAGCATTGCCAGTTTTACCATGCCACAAACGCTGAGGTTGAAAACAGATTAATAACTTGTATGTTACTGCACTAAATCCTCAAAGACTCTAAATTGGCCTGAACTCAGTGGCATCGTGCTGACCTCAGGCAGCAGCAAACCTGGGCCAGTACCTTCTTTGAGGGCGAAGAACCGTATTCACGTGGGTGGTTTTGAAAGGGATGTGGTGGTGGAACAAGGGGAATGTCCCACCCCATCACTCTCACTATAAAACACTTCTCTTACGATGCACTGAGCATACTGCAGAATTCTTGGGGTCTGACTGTGCCTTCAGATGTGACTGTGAGAAAGGGAAGTGAGCGCTCGCTGGGGGATTGGCCTTGTCACAGAGCTGGTCTGTCCCACCTAGTGTTTTCTGCTGGCTTGTGCACATTATACTTGTGATTTGTACCTTTGAGCCAATATATACAATTTATAATATAATATTACATGTCAAATCTTCTCTCTGATTGGCAGTCCATGCCAGTGACTACCTAGCCAATGTCGTACATTTTAAATATTTCTGCAGAAAATAACAGTCCTCCAGTAGCAGTGGCTGGCCCTGACAAGGAGTTGACCTTCCCAGTAGAAAGTACTACACTGGATGGAAGCAAAAGTCAAGATGACCAAGGCATTGTCTTCTATCATTGGGAAAACATCAGGTATCTAGAGATTTTACTGATCTCCAGTAAAATAGAGAACAAACTGAAAGTGATTGAGTGCCAGAGCCTCTTAGGCATTTGTGTTGGGTGATGCACTGTTTGAGAACTGCTTTGAGGCTCTTCCTGTTCAGGTGGTGATAGGGTAAGAGACAGGAATTTTGTGTTCAGCTTGGAAAGCTTAGGCAGTCTCTGCCTGTGTCTTGCAGTGCATCATTTTGAGGCCAGCTGTTACAAAGTTAAGAGAAAATGACAGGAACTTCCTTATTTCGTGTTAAAAAGCAACTAACAGACTCAGGTACCGTCCTGTAATGTACAAAATTTTCCCAACAGTCACTTGTTTGTTGAATAATAAGGTAATTTGACAATGTATTTAGCCTGAGCTTTCGATAGGTGACTGAAGCACTCTTGAATGATGACCAAAAATCTTCTCCAAAAGATTGTAATTGTATGTTTATATGCAAAACTAATTGATCCTTAATAGGAAGCTGTGGTGGTTTCACTGGGCTAGGACTGGGCCAGCAGCCAACACAGCTGCTGATTCACTCCCACCCCCAGGGAGTAGGGGAGAGAATTGGGGGACAAGGATAAGGAGACTCGTAGGGTGAGATAAGAACAGTTTAATAATTGAAATAAAAGAAAAACTTAAAATAATATTGATATTAAAATATTAATAATGATAATATTCAAATTTATATGTAATAATATGTAAAAAATTATGCAAACGAGTGACACCCAGTGCCATTGCTCAGCACCCACTGACCAAGCCCGGCCCGTTCCCAGATCACGATCCCGCAGGAGCCACAATCCCGACCCGAAACCGCAATCCCGGGAGAGCCAGA